AAAGAACTAATACGATGATTTTTTGATATTAAGGATTAATCTTAAAATGGTTAATGAGTTGAAACCTTAAAATAATTTTTAATTTTCTTTGAAACTTTCACTCTCAAAGAAGCAATTTGTTCATGCAAATTTACCGAATTTATATGGAATACTCATTTCTGCAAAAAATTCATTCGTGCAAAAAAAGATTTGGAGTTTCCTAGATGAATAACCAATCTTCGCTAAAATATTCACATAATAATTTCTCGTTGTTCCTGAAACATCTATGTTTCGCGGGGAAAACATTTCCATTCGTGCAGTCACGAAATAAAAGAAACTCGAGATTTGCAGTGAACTATTCTGACCACCAGCCATAATTTTCATCGTTACGTACAACCATTAATTTCAGTTTCGTTTGCTAAATTATAAGTGCAATACTGACTAAACGTACAAAGTTTTATCAAAGAGATAACCTCATTCTTTTATTTTTTTCGATCTTAGAAATAGACAGAAATATATAGAATCCAAGTAAAAGTAAAATTTCTCAAGTTTCATTATAGTATAATGATTATGTGCATTATTAGAGAGTTGTTTACCGAAAAACAATAATGTTAACGACTCATGCAGTACGTTTCATTTCATATGTTTTCAAGTAATAAAATTAATTCTGCACGTATAAAGTCAAATCAAATCAATAAAAATCTTAAACGTTTCTAACTGAATAATTTTTAAGTCTAATTATTTTACTATTCTAAGCTTTTAAAAAGATCTGAAAAAAATTCTAGGACATTTACCAACAATTTTACTACATCATAGAATCATTTGTTTGAAAGTCAAATGTTTGAAACTATTTTTCAACAAGAATAAAAATTCTATTGTTCGACGAAATTCAACGAGATTTCACTTTCTTATGAATGATTAAAAAATTAGTTAAGAAAGGGTTAAAAGTTTGTTTTTAATATATAGCTAAAATTAATTAAAAAGGGAAGGTCTTATATAGACATTCTCTCACTCCGTATACATAAAATTTCAATGCATTTCTTTCAAATTTTAAATCTAATTTCCTATGAACTTATTGTCCTCGCAAATTACCTTGGTCGCTAAACATAACTTGAAACTAGGCCTAAAAGAAAGTGGATGCTCTTTCTCTCTCTTTCTCTGCGTTAAAAATAAGAGGGAAAAAAGATAATAAAAGGAAAGAGACACGATCGATTGGAAGACACGGAAGAAAAGAGGGATCGTGAGAATAGTAACGGCACGCTTGATGCCACTTTGAGCCTCCTATAGAATTCCACGGCGAAATGCCTCGCAGCATTCCAACAAACAGCAACAGCCCTCGTCCCTTTCTGTCGGTGAACTTATCATGACTCTCCTAACCCTCTCTTTCATCCGTTTTGTCCTTTTATTTACTCGCCCCATCGTGCTGACCCACATGCCCGCCAACTTATATCTGCTTCCAATTAAAAGAGCGGAATTGGATCGCATTAAAAAACGTCGAGAGGAAGCGACGCTGACCCTTGCGCCCCTCCTTTTCAAATCCTACCAAGAAACCTATCCGCACGTCTGTACGAATTGAACGAGGGAAAGCTTCTTTTAACCCCTTCACGTCCAACTTTCTCTTTCTTTCTCTTTTTTTTTTCTTCCTTCTTTGTCTATAGACTTTACGATGTCTGTATGTTTCGATGTATATGTTTGAAATGCGTGATAATTGTCTTATTTATAAGACATCTTTTATTAGTTTCTTCCATTCTAGATTTCTTTTGAGATTTGCAATAAATAGTTTGTGTAAAGGTATCTTCTAATTATAATTTGTAGATGATACACAATTCCTTATATTAGTCAACAACTAATCGCTTTTATAATAATTCACCATATGTTGAATTCTAAAAAAACCATGTCCATCTAAAAAAATACTTATGTACTTCACATTCATACGAGAATTCTGAACATTTGAATACTTATGTCTGGGATTTTTAACGTTATAGATAAAGTTTGGCCTTTATTATCTATCATTTCAAATAATAATGAAAATTATGCAAAAGCTACGTCTCACGTAGGCAGAAATAAATAAATCTGCTTTCGATCCAAATTACGAAACCTAACATATCTCGTTATCACCTCCGAAAAAAAAAAGAAAAGAAAAATATTCTTCTCTGTTGCGGCAACCATTCAATCCCGAATCGAGCGCGGATTATCCCATTTATTTCCGAGCCGTCGACAATTTTTTTTAAAAAGAATCGCTCGTCCCAAGGGAGAACGAAGTAAAGAGAGAGAGACGAAAACCAACAAACTAAGCATAAATGACAACGTAACATGTATATAACGCTTCCTTTTTTTTTCTCTTTTTTTCTTCTCCTCTCGCCTAGTTCTTTCACAGTGATAAATCGTGCAAAACCAAGCAAGAAATAATCCCTCGTGACGAATATATCCGCTTAATAACGAAAAGGTCGGATACAGTCGGATATTAAAGTCCAGTCTACTATATCGAAGTGGCCGGTTTACAAACTACATGGCCAGTTATAACTCATCGTTGTAGCCATCCTGAAAACCGCGTCATAATAATAAAGACTATCATCATTGATATTAACCTGACAACCTAATCATCGATGTTAACCTATTCGTTGAACGACACTGAAACCTAACCAATGTATCGTAACTTCTTCTTGCCTGATAAGCACATTGTTAGATTATTATGACGCGATGAACACACGCGTTGTACGGAAGATGGGAAGAGGAGAGGATATTGACGACGACGTGTGGAATAACGCGAGGAAAATTATTTGGTAATAATGTTTTGAATATTTGGAATATGTTTGAACTTGCTTAAACGCTCATGAACAGATCTTTTCTTATATCGAACTTTAATTGGTCTTTTATTGAATAATCATGTGATAAGATATTGTATATCATAAAAATTTGGGAAAAGAAAAATTAATTGATGACAATAATAGTTTCATAAAATTTTAATTATAACAATATATAATAATTTATTAGTTCTGGATTATGAAAGATTGACGTGAAGAGGTATAAAATGACAGAAAAGAAATTATTCGATAATACTGTATTAGGTATTTTAAGCTATTTAAAATTCTTCCAATATTGATTAACTTTGAAGTTAATCTCTTGTTACGTAATGAAACCAGTTACGTCGTTAAAATCTATTACTCTGTTGCAAAGCTTCTCGTTTTTGTAAAAATTTCATGATTTAAAATTTAAGTCGCGTTTTACATTTGAGCCAGTATCACGTACATTCGTTGAATTATGTGCCAATTTGAATGAAAAAGAACATATTAATACCTTTTAATTATTACAAACGTGAATGAAATATAATAATGCATTGAACAAACTGAAAATCTCTGCATGACCTGAATTATCAGTAAAATATCTAATAAGATTTTTGTTAATTTCCTTATTTTTATAATTATGACATACCGAATTGAAAATGAATCAAAGAGCTTTAAAAATAGAAAGTCTTTAGAAACAATTAATACATCGACGAGGTTTTATGGAAATTAAGGATATAATTATCCTGCTATAATTATCGTAATATTATAACAAGCAATATTTTGAAAAATTTAAAAGAATACATATTTACTACTTACCATGTATGTACTGAATTTTAAAATGTGACTTGTATTCTTCTGTAATATATGTGTAGCGATCATTCTACTGTATGATAACTAATATTAGTACCATATTACAATGTTCGACGCACTGCATCTCCAGGTTCAATTTCACTCGCCGTTAGTGTCGCAAGTAATAAAAAAGAAGAAAAGAAAAGAAAATAATAGCACAGAAGGAGGTGAAGTGAGAAAATTTAATTACAGACAACAATTACAGACAGCTCATTTATAATATGAGTTTCGCATTGCACCATACGTAGCATCGTTGTTGCGTTCTTACGAATTGCGAATTGATTTTTCATTCATCCCGCGATTGATGATGACTCGTGAATGAAACAAACAAAGCCTTAAACAAAGCCCTATCGTATCATGTAATTCACTCTTCTTCCTTCCCTTCTTTTTTTCAGCAAAGAGCAATAGAACTTGCCAAAAAATCCTGCCAACCCATTTATTTTTATTTCTCTTGTTCATCAAAGTCTATCTCTCATGGCTTTATTATTTTTATTATTTTGACAATTGATCCGACAGATACAGGGTTGTTCGAAAAGTTCGTAAATTTTTGATAATATATCAAATATACTTCATAGTGGATTAGAATGAAGCACATGGAAATTCCCGGTGTAAAATTTCGTGGCTTTAGCACTTATGTAGCTACGTTTTTACAGTGTCTTCCTCGCATAAAAGATGAAACAGAGCATCGACTGTTCGGATGAACTCGAGGAAACAACTTCTTCCCTTGCACTCTTGTATAACTTTCCGTGTAAGTATACAGAGTTCGTTCAGCCAAAAGGAAGAAATAAGTTCGTAAAAAGATTCTCACTCCTGGTCGATGTAAAAATACAAATTTCGCGTACAAAGTGAATCGCGTTTATGAGAACTGAAAACAGAGGGTGGAGACAGAGCAATTTTTTTCTTTCAAGTTTTTCACGAATTTGTTCAAGGTGACAAGGAAAAGGTAAAAGAACAAGACAAGGAAAAGGTAAAAGAATATCTTCTTTCCTTCCTCTTCATTCCCATTATTTCATCCTTCTTCAACTTACACTCTCTCATTTCTTAAGTGAATGATTGAAAGATCTTTCTTTCCATTCACGAGAATTTAAATTTTACAAATAACTACTTTTGAAATGCAGGAAGCTCTTTAAATAATTCGATATTGGCAAAAATTTAAATATATTTGTTTATTTCTTTGTCAAATATGAGTGACCGACTGAGCACGCAAATCAATATAATCGATAAATCCATGTATAAATGTAGCTGGAAATTACCATTTATTTAAAAGTAATTAGAATGTTAATTGATGAGAATAAGAATAAAATATAAGTATGTTAAATAATTTTTACCATCACTGCGATGGCAGCACCATCTTATCCAGCTACTTCGACGCCATCTATGTGGAGGATGAACTTCACGTTACAGTATCGACACAAAGATACAGTGTGTACACTAGATTGTTCATATTCCACAATGTCCTTTGTGTACATATACAGAATCTAATAAAATTGTGTACGTTCGACTACTTCGTAGTACACATCGTCTGGTGTCGCGTCATTATTTTCGAAAAAAAATGGAGAATGTAGGGAAGATCATCATAGTATGGGGCAGGAAAAAAATCGAAATCCCGGACGTGAACCTGGACGATACTGTTCGTGGTCTGAAAGAACGAATATACAAGGAAACTAGCATCCTCCCGGAACGTCAAAAACTTTTGAACCTACGAACCAAAGGTTATGTTTTGAATTGTTTTCACGAGCTTCCTTTTCTTTTATTTTCCTCCACGTACAATCACACGCATTGTTCGAGATTTGTTGTTAATTCTCAAATAAAATTTTTTCAAACGACTTCTATTTTGATTTCAAATTATCCTTCTATATCATTGTAATTTGACATGTTTGACTGTACGCCGTTTAAAACTCCATCAAGTGTCTATAGAATCTTTCTTTCCACCAGACAAGGCATGTCAAGAAGAGGAGATTTTAAGGGACTTGGGCATGAAGCCTGGATTCAAGCTAATGCTGATGGGATCTCGTGAAGAAGACATAGCTAAAGTGTGTCACGCGCCAAAAGATTTACCTGATGTAATTAATGACTTTAAGACTGAGGAAGAGGAGATAGAAATAGAGAATGTTAAGCTGTGCTTATTTCAAATTCAGTGTAGAATTGGTTTGTATAGGTTTGTAGAATTAAATCCCTTCAGAGAAGGAAAAAAACTATTGGTGCTAGATATAGACTACACCATTTTCGACCCTAAATCAACAGCAGAAAGTGGTGTAGAATTGATGCGCCCATTTCTTCATCAGTTTTTAACCCTGGCTTACCTAAATTATGATATAGTAATTTGGTCAGCAACTAGTATGAAATGGATCAATGAGAAAATGAAAGTGCTTGGTGTTTCTAGCAATCCCTATTATAAAATAGCATCTCATCTTGACTCAAATGCTATGATCAATGTCCACACATCAAAATATGGTACTATCACAGCAAAACCACTGGCTATTATTTGGGGCAAATATAAACAGTTCTCTGCAAAAAACACAATCATGTTTGATGATATTAGAAGGAACTTTATTATGAATCCACAGTCAGGATTAAAAATAAAACCATTTAGACACGCACATATTACCAGAAGAAAAGATAGGGAGTTGCTAAAATTGTCTCAGTATCTAAAATTAATAGCCAAAGTGGATGATTTTCAAACACTTAATCACAGAAAATGGCAAGAATATATAATTGACAAAACCAAAGAAGAAAAGAAAAGTAAGGAAGGAAATGAGGGAAGGAGCGAGTAACCGTCACTTTTTTTTAAGGATGTTAAATGCTTGTTAAATTTTATGGATCTTTTCATTACTCAAGAGGGATATTTCAAACAAAATCCATCGAGTATCGCGAGTTCGCCAGCAACGATTTAAATTTGTTTGGAAGAAGGACACAGTGTGTATAGAAAAGACATCTTTCAAATATTCTTCCATGAACAGTATAAGTTGATATCAATGATAACGTTAACTAATCGTTATTCGCATATTTTCACACGCTTCTTTGTATTTATGATGTACTTATCAGTTATTGTGAAACATATAAAATATGTAATCACAGATCTAAATAAATCTTATGTATTTCAAATAACGAAACGTTCATTTCTTTCTTTTTCTAATTAACGTGGAAAGATCTAAATTTCAAACTAGCAAAATTTTTTAACACAAAGTTTTCAGAATCTACATTAAATCAAAATCTAATTAGTGCCAAATTATAGGAAAATGTTAGATTTTATAAAATCGCATTCATCGGAAATTATTATCAATTGAAGTTTTAGATAAGATGTCATATATAATTAATCCTTTGTCCATTCGCCATCTGCTCTTTGATCGAAAATATAGTTAACGAAACCAGCCTGTTGTCAGTCTCGTATGCGAGCAAGATGGCGAAGTGTCTGTCATAGGCGGACTTTGAGGTGAAGAATTGACGTTCCATATGCTGCGTAGAAATTGTCGTACAGTGGGAAAATCAGAAGCATGGAATTGTTCCGTACTGATACGCATTTCATTTTCGTGAAAGAGAGACACAGCCTGTGGTGTGACAAGTATACGGGAGAATTCTCCGCTAAATCGGGTGGGTATACGACTCTCATTTGACAGATACATACATTCGTGTCAAGTATACGATACACGTTGTGATTCTCGGTTCATTGTTCTTATTTAGAACACGTTCGATTTTCCGTGGAACGTAACCGAAACGATTTCGCATAATTTTTCATTTATGAATTCGATTTCGCGACAGTATCTGATGAAATAAGAATTTTATATCGAGTCATAACTGAGTTAATATTATTGAAATAATGCAAAGTGCGAGAATACCTTAAAAGGCTATTCTGTACATGAGATTTTGCAATAGCTACAGATTATGAATTATGTAAGCGTGTGAAAGCCACGATCTAATTAATACAATTAGGTGCAATACAGTATTGTATAATTTGAAATTGAATATTTTTTTCTATCAACATTTTCATAAGATTTCATCATTTGCAAATTATTTGCAGATTGGGAGTGGGCCTCTCCGAAGGATTTAGAATGTCTTGGGATATTTTATGGAATCGTAGGGAAAATAGAACAACCATCCGTGTTGGAACCACGTTTAATGTTGATTAAAGAAGTTTCACCAGCTGGAGAATTGTATAGAGGTCATGTTATATACAAGATCAAATCAATTGCATTTTTGCACTTTGGCAGTGAAAATAATGACATTGGACTTTTGCCATGCAAGAAGCATCAGAATTTGCCAAAGAAAAAAAGCCAAGGTGGTCTGTTTGATGTGCCACAGAAGGCAGCCTTTGCCAAAACATGGGGAACCATTAAAAGTGCTACAAACACTATAAAAAATACCACACAACAGGCAGCTGCACTTGCAACATCTCAAGTAAGCTTCTTGTAGTTAAAAGTAAAAAAAAATCATTTATATAAAGAAGAATGTTCTTGTACTAACAAAACTGATTACAGATGAAATCCACAGTGAGTAAAAGAAATATTGTCAAAGACAAGGAGAGATTTGAGAAAAGAATATTGGAAGAATTAAGTAAAATTTTCACCGAAACCGACTCCTTTTATTTCTGTCAAACTGGTGATATCACTAATAGCCTGCAGAGACTTTGTGTCACTGAGTCTCAACAGAATGAGGAAGGGCAAAATAAACCGCTTTGGGAAAGAGTGGATGATAGGTTTTTTTGGAACAAGCACATGTTGCAGGATATAATTAATTTAAAAGTTAGGATCCTTCCAAGTTTTTAAATAATGTTGCTAGGTACTTATTATCAAGAAGCTATTTCATTTTTGCAGACAGATAAAGCAAATATATGGATATTACCAATTATTCAAGGATATGTGCAAATAGAGAAGTGCAAAGTAGAAGTAGGCATTGATGAACAACCACATCATGAAACTTTCAATCTAGCAATAATATCAAGAAGAAGTAGATTTCGCGCGGGAACGAGGTATTTTTTTTTATTTTTATTGATATATATTCTGTATATCAATTTATTTGATAACTTATCTTTCTATAGATATAAGCGACGTGGTGTGGATGACGAGGGAAAATGTGCAAACTATGTAGAAACGGAGCAATTGGTTTGGTATCATGATCACCAAGTATCTTTCGTTCAAGTGCGAGGCAGTGTACCAGTATACTGGTCTCAACCTGGCTATAAATATAAACCTCCACCACATATAGACAGAGGTAAATAACAAAAGAAAAAAATTCATTCTCATCTTCATAATAATGATTTTTAATCCATCAGATGAAGCAGAAACACAGGCTGCATTCGAGAAACATTTTACTGAAGAACTAAGTTTATACGGTCCAATTTGTATCGTGAATCTCGTAGAGCAAACTGGCAAGGAAAAAATAATTTGGGAGGCCTATAGTAACCATGTACTAAATTATAATCATCCAGATATAACATACACAACTTTCGATTTCCATGAATACTGGTAAGCAGTTAAAATATTTTGTACACACTAATGAATTATCACGAACTGTCGCTAAATGTTCTTTTATACCTAACACAGTCGAGGAATGCATTTTGAAAATGTTTCTATCCTGGTCAGTGCATTAGCTACAGTATTGACAGATATAGGGTACTGTTGGCACGATAAGCAAGGCACAATCTGCATGCAGAAAGGAGTGTTTCGGGTGAATTGCATAGATTGTTTAGATAGAACGAACGTGGTGCAAACTGCTTTGGGTAAAGCTGTGATGGAAATGCAGTTTTCAAAGCTAGGACTAATACCGCCGGATGGAACGTTACCGACAAATATCCGACAAACGTTTCAATTGCTTTGGGCAAATAACGGCGACATTATCAGTAAACAATATGCTGGTACAAATGCTCTCAAGGTTCGTACCGCACATAAAACACACACTGATTTTACCCTAACTGTTACAAATTAACCATTAAGCAAAACTCGTCAATTATAATATGGCTGAACTATGATAGTAGTTATTTTATTGCTTATAGGGTGATTACACAAGAACAGGGGAAAGAAAATTTACCGGTTTAATGAAAGATGGCATGAATTCTGCGAACAGGTACAATTGGATCACAATTATAATACACCACCCACTGCATTGCAATAGAACACCATTCTCATTCACACATCCTACACGATACATCATTTTGCGATTATCTTTCATTATTCAAGATATTTCGCAAACACATAAACTATTAGGTGTTGTAATTTTTCTTAGAATGAATAAAGTGTTACAGACTATTAGTATCGTCATTAGAAATCAATAACACTCAACGACATTTTTCTTTCTTTTTTTTTTTTTT